AACTATTAAATATTCTAACCAATTTTCTAACCAGTGCTGGTGTTGATTTTGTCTTTGCTTTCAGAATTTATTGTTTACAGATGAAACTGATAATTCAGAAATAAAAATAATTGATTTTGGCTTTGCTCGTTTAAAACCACCTGATAATCAGCCTCTTAAGACTCCATGCTTTACCCTTCATTATGCTGCCCCAGAGCTCTTGAATCACAATGGTTATGACGAATCTTGTGATCTGTGGAGTTTGGGAGTCATTTTGGTAAGTGATGGAGGTTTTGAAATGTAACCTGATTGTATGTATTTACTTTTTGTTAAAATGCAAAGGACTTGACACAATTTCAGACTTGACTTGGGTAGATGCTGAATTCAAATGAGGGGAAAATACAGCTGCACAAATAATAGGTTCCAAAGACAGATGTTTTCCAGGGGTGGAGGTTTTTTTTGTAACAGTAAATTAAAATCAACGTTTCTGGGAATGGAAAAAAATATTTGATACAGTCTGATTCTTAAAAAGGGAGATTCTACAAGCATTCATAAAGTCTTCCTATAGTTTCAATTCAGAGAAGGAGTCAGCCTGCATTCTGATTTACAGAAAATTAATTCCAATAGATATAAACTGGGTAGAAAGACTGTTGTGTTTTGTTTATAGTTTCCTGAAACATATTAATGCTTTTTCTAACAAGGGCTCCCGAGAAAGTCTTACATATTTAAAATTTTCTGTAGCCTTGAAGTTATGCTAGTCAAAGTTTTATTGTATAGTGCTGGTGATACAAACAACAGCACTCCATATTTAGTAATAGGGTTGTCAATAAATATACTGTGTTTATTAATACTACTTTTGTTCTCATGACAGTACACAATGCTGTCGGGACAGGTACCATTTCAGTCTCAAGACAAAAGTTTAACGTGTACCAGTGCATTGGAAATTATGAAGAAAATAAAAAAGGGAGAATTTTCCTTTGAAGGAGAAGCTTGGAAAAATGTTTCTGAAGAGGCTAAAGAGTTAATTCAAGGTATGAATTCACAAATATTTCGCATACCTTATATTTCTTTGTCAAAGGATAAAATTTAGAGAACTGTACAATATCTGGATGCTGTGAGTGCTTAACCTAACATCAGAATGCCTGACCTGACAGAGGAGTATCCACAGCTTAAGCTATGTACTGACCCCTAATACAAGTTATGAGACATCAGAATGGCATTACAAATTGCTTGTATGCCCAGCAGATAGCTTTCTAATGTGGGGATGTGCTGATAGAAGGTTAGCGGGGTTAGAAGGAACTGAAGAGCTTCAGAAAAAGTGAAGTCAGTCTTTTAAAACATATTTCAAAACAAAGTTTTTCTTTTATGTTATTTTTGCTTTTGTAAAAACACCAGGTTATGAGATAAATGTTTTAAAAGCTGAACTTTTGCAGAAAACGAATATATTGCTATCATTTTTTCTTCAGGCTGTTCTTGAATGTGTGTATTAAGACTACTGTGTTTCTGAGCTGCTTCATTCACATTTGCAATGCTTTGATTTCCCTTCAGCTTTGGAGCATCTCATTATGTTTTCAGGATGAGATAGACACCAATCATCATTCTACTAAGACAGAGTTCTGAATTTCTGTAGAAGCAGGCTTATAAGGAATTTTTCTGCCAAAATGTAGGCATCTGCAGATTCAGACTTCAGTGGATGTCGTGGTTTGGGTCGGACTGGCCATTGAGACTCTTAGGCTCATGCTCTGCCGACTCAGCTAGTCTACAGAATCTGAAGCTAACTCTCTTGAGCTTCATCCCAGACAGGTTTTAAGTGAGGAAGTCATTTGGTAGTTCTGAGTTCGTGTGAAAAAAGATGTGAGTAATCAAACAGTTAAATAGCAGTTTCTTGCATTTAATGATTCTTCTGGACAGGATGGTAGTATAACATTGTGTGAGCCTTATCTAGGACAAATATTGGCATACCTAGGATAAATATTGGCATTATTACTTATCAAAGCAGTGCATGAGATCTTCTTTAAAAATAATTGAATTTTCTATTAAAAGAAGATCAATAATTCACAATGTAAGTTAATGTAATATATTTCTGTTAGGACTTCTAACGGTGGATCCCAACAAAAGAATTAAAATGTCCAGCCTGAGATACAACGAATGGCTTCAGGATGGCAGTCAGCTGTCATCCAACCCTCTAATGACTCCTGATAACTTAGGCTCTTCAGGAGCTGCGGTGCACACGTATGTCAAAGCCACTTTTCATGTAAGTTCCAAGAAATCTTATGTTGTGCTAAATTTTGTAATGTGTTAATCAAGTTTTTTGTATGTTTTCTCTTAATTAAAAATATGTATTTTCATTATAATTCAATGATTGCTTATAGTTGCAATTTCTTCCTCCATACCTAACATCGATGATTAAGTACAGTGAAAACATGAATGATGAGGCAAGAATAAATTTCTTGAAGACACTTACACTAGTGGGGTTTTGGGGACTGAGAGACAGCTGTTCATGAAATAACTGTTACAAATATTTGGTTTCTTAGAGAAATCTATTTCAAGGTCTTCAAACTTCTATAAAAAAGAGAAGAAACTTTTTGTTTAACTTAAGTAACTGTTAGACTTTGTCCTTTTTGTTACAAAATTGAGGTAAATTTTCTGGAATATATCTAGTACATGGTTTTAATACTTTTTTAAATGGACTTGCTTGTCTGCCATCGTATATTTACTAAAAATGTTTGAACTGCAACTGTATTACACAAACATAGTGCTGATTCTCATGATTCCATCTACAGATAATAAACTGAAAATGAGCAGATTTATGCTGAAATACTCGTAGATGTTTGTTACCAAGAAGAGAAAAAAAGAAAGAAATTGTTACTTGGAGAGATTCTGATAATTTGGGTGGAAAGAAAAACTAATTTAACTAAGTGTAGTTTCTGAAAATATAGTCTCAAATACGTTTAAGGCTTAATAAAATGTACTTCTAAATTAAAAAGAACAAGGAGGGGAAGGTGCCAATTAACAATGTTATGTATTGGCTCTTAAATACATGTAAAGGCTAGTGAAGTTATTGTTACAGCTACAATAAGAATTTGCAGGGATCTGTCAAGAGATTACAGTTTATCTTATGACTTACCATAGAACATTCTTAATAAGCTACAAGCCATAAAATGTCTTAAACCTCTTGAAAAGCTTAGAATTACCTTTTATTTTTAAACAGGCCTTTAACAAGTACAAAAGGGAAGGTTTTTGTCTCCAGAATGTTGACAAGGCACCTCTTGCAAAGAGAAGGAAAATGAAAAAAACAAGTACAAGCACAGAGACACGTAGCAGCTCCAGTGAAAGTTCACATTCTTCTTCCTCTCATTCTCATGGTAAAACTACACCTACAAAGACACTGCAGCCAACAAACCCTACAGATAGCAATAACCCGGAAACCATCTTCCAGTTCTCTGACTGAAAAGCAGAGAATATCCCGTCTTGAAGATTTAAGTGGTTATAGACTTGGTAGTACCTATGTTGTCTTCTCCCACCCTTCCTCCATGTGGCTTACAGGCTACAGGACTACGTCTGTCGCTTTACAAATGTATTTCAATCATAACTTTTTAGCTTTGTATTTCAATACATTTCTTTTTAGCATTAAGTTTGGTATCACTGGATATAGTATAATACTATTATACAACCAACATTGTATTCTCTTAGGGCTAAATTACTAGCGTGCAGTCAAGCTCAAGGTAAGGAGCTTTGCTGCTTGTGGTGCAGCTTCGAGGAAGACTGTTTCTCAGTGTCAGAATCTTCCTCCCAGTTTCTTCCCCACTGTTCAAAAAAGGAAAGCTCTGTAACACCTGTAGAACTGTTGGATCTTCTGCTTTTACCCAGCTCTGTGAAGAATGTCACAGAATTTGATTCTTCATGCATGTAAGGAATCGTTGGTACAATGCACCAAAGCAGTATAGTACTTTAAGGCCTTTTAAATTTGTGGTTACATTTAATCCCATTTATTTGAATTTTAAGAGCAAAATGAACGGTTATGGAACTCATACGTTTTCTTTAAAGGTAACTCCATATATCTTGTTCTAAACAACTGGTAATGTAAGTCTTAGATTATTTTTTTTATTTATTTAATTTTTAAAAAAACATCTAGGGCAAAAGATGTCTGATAAGGTGAGGTGTCTAGTACTGTGATACAATAATTTTTATTTCTGCTTTTTGAAGTTGTTGACTTTTAAAATGTTTTACAGATTCTAAAATGTAATGCTATAAGAGAAAGTGAAATTTCATATTGAATGCTTTGGAAAATGGTCACATGTTAAAAGATCTATTTCAAGAATTAATTATAATTTATATTTTCTTTTTGTATTTACACAATAACTTTAAAATACTAAGATTTTTTTAAAGATGCAAAAACTCCAGTTTCAACATTTGTTATTATAGGGTCCACACAAAATATATACCAAGTTATTTGAATTTTGCATTGTGCAAATATGGCAGTTAAATAGTGATTGTAAAATATTAGAATATATTTTTTCTTTTTTGCACTTTATAACATCAAAAGGAGATGTTTTATAATAAAGTGCACTCAGATCTCTCTTCCTACAAGGTGCTGAGCACTGTTTTACTGGATTGAGTGACCTGAAATCCACCGTATTTGGTGGTGTGGTCATTGTGAAGGAGAATTCTGTACATTGCAGGAGTGAATCCCTGTATATTACCCACTGTTTTCATTCCTTACTTTTAACTGCAAAGCTCTTTCTATCTTGCTTTTACATTGTATATAACAAATACTAGACCTGGGCACCTTGTGTAGTGTAGATGTTAACAACTTATGCACTGGGAATACTAAAGGGAAATTATATTGAACACTGTGCTTCACAACTTGTTCACTGTGGTGTTCTACAGTGAAGTATTTCCTACTGTGATAGTATAGTATGTACATAACTGTTTGGAATCATAAATGTGACTTACAGAAACATCAGCATAAACTTTTAAATCAGTATATTTTATAAATTTATGGAGAGCTCTTTTATTGCTCGTATTCTCAATGACTACGGGTGACTTAAGTGCTAAACATGACTCCAGTTTTGCAAATGCTTACATGTGTAAGTTTCCACTGAAGTCAGAGAGACTCCTTGTGTAAAGTTAATCCTATGCCTAAATTTGTGTGATGGAAGACTAATTGACTAGGGATTTTGTTAACAGCTTGCTCTATCTTAAAGTAACCTTAATCCAAACCCTATGCAAAAAAGGTTATAGGAATTGTTTGTATCAGTGGGTTTATTTATAGAATTATATCAGATATCAGTATTGACAAATACAATACATCCATGTTTACAGGGATTGTGTGTATCAAAACAAGGCTTTGAAGCCCAACATGTTTGTTCTGTGTTTCTTTGATATTAATAATGGCATTCTGAGGTTTTGGAATTGCTCATGTGAAATAGTTTACTACTTTCTTGATGTGAATGTCAACAGTAATTGCAGCATTAATTTCAGGTTGATGTGAATATTGAGATTTGCACTGTTTATGTAGAAGTAGTATATTTAAAGATCAGTATATGTGCTAATAACACAACCAATTTTAAGTGGCCGATGTTAAAATACTGAAAAATAATTGTCAATGTAATATATTCAGGTTTGCTTTCTGAATGCTCTCTTTGGAAGTAATCTCAATAGTGAACATGGCTCATTTGTAAAAGAATACTTTCCCTCTCCCCAATAAACTTGCTGTAAATACAACAAACAATCCACCATTAATACTTGTTATGCAGACAGTACAAGTGAATTGGGGGGTTGGAGAACAGCTTGCTTGTAAAATTTGCACTTTGAGAAGTTCTTGGAATTTGTTGTCTTTGTTGTGAGGACAGCAAAAAGCAGTTGTCGGTTTGATTTCATTTGAGTATAAGAAGCTTTTTGGATACCAGGTGGATTTGGAATATTGTGGCCCAGCTGAAATAACTTCCTAAGTTAGGTACACATACCGTTGTTTCCCTGTTGGGGCATTTAAACTGTTGCTTGACAAACTGCTGAAACCAGAAAAAGAATGCTTGCATAAAATAGTAAATGCTAGAGGTAATGACTATATTGTCAGAGTTGTTTTTCACACAGGTTTTGAGAGACTGTTGTAAGACTAAAATTACTAGAATGCATCACTTGTATCAAAGACGACCTTTACAGATGACTATTTCTGTGTCCTCTTTGTATTCTAACTGTAGTTATTAAATAAAAATTTAAAAACAGGGTAATTCTTTTTGGCAGGGGTAAGTACGTTTAGATGTCACCTTGCATTTACTTTGAACCAGTTACCTGGGGTAGCTGAAATGTTTATCGCCTCTGACTTGCTGCTGCCTCCAGGTAACAGAGCTCTTGAGGAGGTGTTTGACACTGAGCTGTCTGACTTTTTAGATTTGCATCTTTCCACAAGCAACTGCTGATCTCCTATTACGTTGATAAAACTGAGTTGCAAACCAGGCAGCTCAAGAGCAGGTTCACTTCTTGTTCAGATGTCAGTCGCAGGAGACTAGCGACTCTTGGCAGAACGATGTTGTCTCAGCTTATTCTGTTGCCCAGCCTGTCACTCTAGGGCCGTATAAAGACCATGGGCCAAATCTGTCATACTCGTACCACTATTTCAAATCTGAAGTGTACAAGCCAATCTTCATTAGTACTATAAATACTTTGTATTGCCTTGGTTAAAGAGATCTTAGAATGTAAATTGTGTTTATACTCAGATTAAGTTTCCTTCACAGTGCTGCTATGCATCAAGCAACTTTCATGTCTAGTAATGATGTCTCTCTACTGTCAGAAATGTAATGCAGTCAGCAATATTGTGGCAGATTTGTCTGAAAGATCAAATTTCTTATCAGTAAAGGTTTAAATAACTACTGTGGTTATTAAGCTAATCTTTAAAGTACTCAATATTCTGTAAAGCTATTTCTTTATAATATTTTTAGAAACGCAAATATTAGTAATTAGGAGGTAATTCTGCTAAAGGATTTAGAGGCGTACAAAGGAAGTAACATGATTTATTGTTCCTCTGGCTTAGTGAAATTTCTACACTTTTATATAAAAGCAGCTGAAATGTTGTTTCTTAGTAGAAGGGTCAGAGAATTTGGCATATGTATTGTTTACTGCTATGAAAAAACCTTCATTAAATGCTTTATTAAACAGTTTTGGGGGGGTACAAAAATGCAGTATTGCATCAGAATGGATTGAGGCTTTAAGTTGGCATTGCTGATGTACATATTTTCTCAGCCCTTTTCCATTGCGGCTTTTCTGAAGAACATAACGATACCTGCACAGCCGTGTACCCTAGCACTCGTCCAGGAACAGAAGAATTCTTGGCAGAAAATATTCACAGAATGATGATGTATGTTTATTGGTTGTGATGAAGTGTTGCACAAGTGTCTTACATTTTTAATATGTGCATGTATTATGCGCATGTATGTAGATACATGCTGTATTGCATGTCTAGGCCTCAATTTAAAGTAATATGCCTTGTTTAAGACAACCCGTACTTAAAAGTGAGTTCTCAGCTCATACAGAGGACCAGACAAGGGGGCTACAACAAAAGAGGAAGAAAGCTATGGGAAGTCAAAGATGAGAAGCTCCTGGGAAGATATTTTCAGGAGTACATTTTTCCCTTTGCCATCTCCACGTGCGTGCGATATTCACTGACACCGAATTGTAAGCTTTCTTGCCAGTTACCCAGCATAGACATATTTCCTAACTCTGAAGGTCTGTGAGTATGTGTCTGTGGGTCTATACCCATGTGTATATCTTTATATGACATTTTGGTCTTCAGTTGGAATTTTTTGTTATTTCTCAAGTATTGTTCCAGGTGTTTTTCCCAAGTTGGTGGTCTTCATTCTTTTCCCCCAGTCTTTTTCAGCACAGTTTTGTACATTGCAAAACATGACATTGGCTTCTGTCAGTCAAGGTAGTTGACTGAATATCCTGGATTGAGAATTGAACAGGAAATAATGTGGCTGTTTCTGCTATAAAGAGAAAAAAGTGCTTTGATCTTTGTCTACCTGTGAGAAACACATCTCAGTTTGCTCCTTTGACCCACAGGGCACTGGATTCTATCAAAAATAAGAAATGCAGAGCTGTTGGCTAGCTCTTGCCTGCCATTCCTCATTTTTATATATCACTCATTCAATGGATTCTGGATGTTAAGAACACCTGTGTAGAACAGAAAACTTAGGATGATTCCTGTAGTCTGCACTAATAAATAAAGTGATGCTTTCAATTACATAGACCAGCTGGAGCAGTCTTGTTTGTTGTGCCCGGAAGCAGCAAGAGCGGCAAAATGTAAGATACCGGCAGTAATGTAAATTTGAAGAAAACACCTGTATTTTGACAGCCTTCGTGTTCTGTGTGATGGAAAGGGAAGTCTGCAACTGCCTGGGAATCGATGGTAAGTGTTTAGGTAGATAAGATGGCATGGGCTGGTGTGGCAGCTTGGTGTCGCCCACAGGGACATTCCTAATCCTTTCTTCTGGCCACATGCTTCACCCTTTTCTTGGTTCTGGTGTTTGTACCACCTCTCAGCCAGCACAGATGGGGGAAATAGAGGTGTTCTATTAACTGAGTTAAAGCATTTTGGTTAACACTGGATTAATTGATTTCCTAGTTAATCCAAAGTAAAAGTAGTAATGAAGCATTGCGAAACCTTGTATGCCATAATGCTATGATTTTTGAAAACCGATACTTTATTTCGAGGTAGAAAGGAATCCATACTATTCACGCATAAAGCCACTTATTAAAATGGGCAACCAATCTGGCTGTATTCACAACATTCATGCAGAAGTCTGCTAACTTCCTTTGAAATGCTAACAATAAAGCAGAGATAAACAGAACTCGTCTTTAATTGCTCAGGAACTGCTCAAAAACCTATCACAGATGAAACTGCAAACTTGCTGTGTTTTTCTTAATACAAAGATAATTTTACTTTGTCAAGAAATCAAGTTTCAAATCTTAAAATTGACCTATCATTTATGTTAATCTGGTTTTCCTTGGGTTGTTTTTTTTTTAAATATGTTGTTGTCTTAGTATGATTGTGACCATAGGTTTATTTTTGTTAAGTAAGAGAAAATCTAAGGATTTAGGCTAAGGCCTTGAATAACCACAAGAAGTCTGATGGGAGTGTTAATCACTATCTTTAGCTAGTTGTTCAAAATATACATATATATTACTGATATTTGCTGATATAAATACATCTAACCAAGTACATTTTGCATCAGTTATGGGTGCAATTTTGTGTGACACATTCAGTTATGCTAAAAAAGCTTTCAAGTGTAAACTAGTCTTTGGTATTACAGTGAAGTGAGAAGAAAGAGGGGGGAACTCGTATTTAAAGACGATGATGCAAAGAGGGGACAATGCTCAAGGTTTGTCTCCAAGTTACGCTGACAGAGGTGACTAGGCAATAGTGTCATTGTATTGTCTGTAGAAGCATACTCATTAATAACAGTATGCATCCCTTTTTGCCTTTAGAATCAATATACAGTGGAGAAGAGAAACTAAATTAATTCACAAAACAGCAAGTACCTCTCAGATGTTTCCTTAATGAGTTCTCATTCTTTAAATATATAGCTCAGCTGTACATAATAGTTACTCTGTTGAAGCTATGCCTACTTGAGGGAACAGGATCCCACTTTCTAATGATGCATTCATTGTACAGCAATTGTACAAATTGGAACTCGAGGTGCTATATCCCTGCCGCTTTGAAGTTCAGGTGTTAACACTGTTCTACTTAATATGTATCGCCATGTCAGTCCATCCGTACGCAGCCCTGGCAGGTCACTTAGTTCAATTTTAAAGCTGTCAGATTAAAAGGAAAATTTGAGATCTACTTCAACACCAAAGTGAGAACAGGCCTTTAATCTTAACCTACATCTGGATTACAAAAATTAATAAAAGCTTGGCGCTGGCTTTCAACCTTGACAGTCTTATTAAGATGCTGCTGCAGCTAATTTTGATGCTTACAGATATCTTTACTGTACTGATCTCTTTCACCTGTAGAGAAAGAAACCTGCAAAATTATTTCCTGTCAGAAAAAAATCTTTTGCTAGAGTTTCAGTAGAAGAGATCATCTGTAATTTCTGCCTTTGCTTCTGAAGCTGTAAAGGCAAGAAATGAATTGGTGATGGATTCTGACAGCTGGTGATGAAGGAGCAGGCTGTGTTAATTTGCGGTAGGTGGAACGGGGCGTGCTATTTCTTGTGTCGGTGTGGGCAGGGAGGG